GTTGAGTAAAGAACTCATCTACAGAATATAAGATCAAGATAATGTTTACGATTTAAAACAAAAGCATCTAGAGTGTTTTATTACCTTGAGTCTTTCTATGTTCATTTTTCCCGTATAAATGTAATACAAAACATGTTTAAATGCAGAAGCGCTTATGTCATTGAGTCTGACCTTGTCCGATGCTGTCTCAGATAATCCACCATATAACAAGGCTCTAAAATACTCTGAGCGAACAGCCAAGATAATCTTATGAGCTCTAAATTCCTTGTTCTGAACTATAAGAGTAATATCACTAAATTTATCGTCATTTAATAGCGTCTCAATTCGACGTGAAAGTTCCTCCGAATGATCAATTCTCAAACTTCGACCATTGCGAACTGAGAAGCCAAGAGTAGAACCGACCATATCTCTAAACGAATTTATCACAAATCTGGACATAGTCAAAGGATAACCAAGCGCTATAAATTAAGAGCGCTCCCAAACTGCCAAATAAAACATTTAAAAACAAAATTTAATAACAACTAATAAATACCTTATATGAAATATGAGTTTTAGTTTAAAGTGTTTAAATTATTTTATTTGCTCCGAGGTTTTTGTATTAGTGCGTGCTCTGGACATCATGCTTGCTACCTGCCGCATTAATAGTCATTAATATAGCAATGCTTACATTCCATAATGTTCTTTCGTCTATCTAAACTAATAGTTAAACGTGAAACATTACTTACGGCCTTGTTTCATACCTCAAGGACTTATCGTGGTCGCGTCCTGGATAGCGTGGACACCTTTAAGATATGGCTAGCCTCAGAAGATGCAGATACTCTTGCTGCCGCATTGATTTTACAATCAAGATCAGCACTAACATTGAATCAACTTTTTCCTTCTCAATTTAAGTCTATCTCTGATTGCATATCCTTTCTGACAACAGCATTTCCTACTTGGGAAAAGTCTTTGGCATCTCAATCCGAGTTAACAAAAATTATTATTGATTCTTCATCTAGGAAGGATTCTCAAAGACGGGAGTTGAATTATTTTTTATCGAATTCTAGGATCTTTAACCACAAGTTTATTGCCTATGCAGATGCCAGTATTCGTTTGGGAGAAGTAAGGTTTTTCCACCTTCATCTGATACTGAATCATTTTACCATTCTGATCACTTCATTTTCATCCCCAGATCGCTCTCGTGTCTAGCCAACTTCAAAAGTACAGAGAAGCATCTCGGAGTGCTGATGGCCTTAAGAAGGCCTGTCTCGTCTTACATCCCCAAGCATTTGAGATTATTGCTCGCAGTTATGCTCATTCTGTAAGATTTGCTTAGCATCTAGGTGTTATGTTTATAACATAAATTAAATTTTATTATTAAAGTCTAGACTAGTTGAGAGATTTTGATCCTGATACCTGTCCCCACTAGTAGCGCGTCTATATTTCATCCGATATTATAATTGAAAGTTTATCCTTATTATGGGACGCTTGTAATAATCTTATTTTTTTATTTTTCTTCATTTTTGAGTTGCTTATCCAAATGATCTATTTACAGTTCTGAGTCAAACTCGTGCTTTTTTTGCCCTACAAAAGGTGGCTGTACATTTGATATTTTTCAGCGGGATTATTGTTACCAGTGCCTGATTTCATCTTCTAATGAGATTTAGCTGACCAGGTTTGTTATAAGGCCTATCTGTCGTTCCCTCGTTTAATCAATTAAAAAAATTAAATGCCTGGGGGTTCACAAAGCACGATGCTCTGTTTTGTGAGTTTATAATTGATGTATAAATATCATGGAATTTATTTGTCTACTCGTCTGCGCTACTATTTATGATTCATAAATTTGGGTTTCTTTAAAAATCAATAGCATTCGGGTTTCACTGCTAGGTGTTGCAACATCTCCCATGTCAAGCCCTGCTTGGATTTATCTTGGT